TTAGTAATCATTAATTTTTTAATATCGGAGTTGCGGAGTTGGCGGAGTTTGCCCACCTATTCTATAGAACATCCATTTTCGATGGACATCTCAGGCTTCATATCCCTTAATGTATTTTCTAAGACTATATTGTGTTTTTGTTGTTCGCCTACCAGTTGTTTGAGATGTTTGATATATTCTACAACTTTACGGAGCACCACACTTTTACTTGGTTTGCCAGTAGAACTGTGTTTAAGAAAATTATCTGGTATAAGAACATATAATTCGTGAATCTTTTCGTTAATAGTTTCTCTTCGATGAAGTTCAACTGAAGTTAAGAAAATGCTCCAAATTAATTTATATAAAGAAAGTTAATTAAAAAATAATGATTATCTACTCACCAGCATTATGTTCTTCTCTACGATGACGTCTCTTTTCATTTATAATTTTCCTAAAACATATACAAAATGTTGTCAATAATTTATACGTAGTAGCGATGATGAAAATCGAATAAACTATCAATGAATTTATTCAAAAAGCATACCGTATTTGAGCCTCATCAGGATTATCATCTATTGCATAGAACATATTTGTGAATATTGGATATAATATTCATAACTTGCAAATCAGTATAACTAAAAAGTTACCAGGTAAAAGAGACGACATTGTAGAGGATTGAGTGTTAACATTTTGATTAAGATCCACTTTGAAAGATTTTGATTTTTGCTTTATATGACCAGGTACATAAGATTGAGTTGTATCTATTCTTAAGTTAGTTGGTCTAACTTTGCTTCCATTGAATGAATTATGAAGAGTTTCTGATATTTGTTCTAAATGATATTTTGTAGGATTCTTTAAATATGACATTTTGTTTAATATTAGGTACCTATTTTTTTTTTATATTTATTATTAATGCTTGAAATTAAAAAAAAAATAAAAAAAGAGCAAGTGCTTCTACCTTGGCAAAAATAGAGAAAATATAAGCAAAACAAAAATATATGAATTATGCTATGGTAAAGCCTTTTGTCAAAAGCAGATTTCATTTCATCACATCCGAATAAAGAATCCCTGAAAAGGAAATTCCTGAAAAAGGAACAACAATAATGTGTATATATCAAAGACTGATTGCCTAAAAATCAATTCGACATAAATTCAGAACAAGTTAAAGAAAAAAGCGAAAGTACTCTAAATTAATATTAATAGACTATGGCGTTCTAATTAAAAATGACGAGGATAGAATTTTACATTAATAGACAGCAGTTTACTACAATAACCCTAACGCTAGCGTCCCAACTCTAAATTCCTACCCTTTCGCATTTTTTTAAAAAATTTCTTTTTTGGGTTTACATTTTTACACAAATAAGTAAATCCCATAACATCTCAATTCACATGACGTGTTGTATAGTTAAATATTTACACCAAATAGAAAAGTGTGTGGCAATATGAAGAATGAATGGCTCTGTGTAAATCACGTTTAATTATAAATGTATAGTTCGTGACGTCTATATTTGTATATTGTATACTTTCTAGCCTGTGCATATTCAAGGTTCATCTAATATTGTGAGACAAGGAAGGCTACAGCAAAAGTCATGGTTGCTAAAATGTTGTGATTACAGTTGGTCACTGAAACCTTTTTTGCAAAATCCGAATACTTCAAGTTCCGGATTATAGGTTCTGAATCTCATCCGAAACTCAAAACTTCACTCGAAACCCAAAACCCGAAACCCTATCCGAAGCCTGAAACCTTCTCCGAAATATGAAATTCATTCCGAGATCTCTTCCGAAACTCGAAACTCGAAAACTTATTTTTGGTACGTAATAGAATACCCTTAACCGAACTCTAAACTAGGCCGTATGATAGTGATATTGTGATTATTAACTGTTCTTCAAATTTGCGTCAGATCCAAATTTAATACAAGTTAGATATTTTTTCGATTTTAACCTGGGAGCACCCGGAACTCCGGTTGCGTACTTTATCAGAAAGATATTTCCAATATAAAAAGCAGCTTTTTGATAATTTTGATTAAAGGCCAAATATATGACCCGGATTGTAAATTGTATCCACATGAATGTCAATCTTGATCAAAACTTGAACTTGCAATGCGATTTATCAATATACATCGGTTTTATAAAATGCTGAGTTTAACCTGACCGAGCCGAACATGAAAAGTATAAAGCTATACTTGAAACGAGGCCATGTAAAGAGGTTAATAGAAACACTCACTACCTTGAATATAATATTAAAATATTAGATTTGAATACCGCAAAGCTAAAACCTGCATTTGTTGATTTTCCGAAATCTAATTTTGTAGAAACGGGCTTATCAGGTCCCTGAAAAATATGATCAACACATAATTAAATATACCAATTAAATTTTATAGTATCGATACGTAAAGGCAGTGTGTTTAATTTATCGAGTTTACTAATTTCTCCCCATAGCTACTATTGGACGAAGAAAAATCCTGATTTTCGACCAAATAATGAAAGTATCATTGAAACAGTATAAAGGTCTAATAGAATCTATACTATACTAAAATTTTGCAACGAATTTTTTTATGTAACCAAAATTTTAATTTATTGGCGATTTTTGAAAAACTTCAGTTTTTTTTTGAAAATTTTATGTTACACCTGATCTTATAATTTGATTGGTAGACGAAGAGTGTCTATTTTGAGACGGCGTTTACAAATGTCCAATCAGAACTGTGGGGATAAATTAGGGATCCCTAATTTATCACGGATTGAATTTATCGGGTGTCTGATCAGTCCGTTTCTGTAAAGTGAAATTTTCGAAGATCAAAATATGCATGTTTTAGCTTGCGGTACATTTAAAAGGATGCCAAATAGAATAAGAGCATTATGAAAACACTGATGAAAGCCTAAGAGCTACGATCTTCTATACTTTATAGTTCTATTCAACATAGTCTTAATTAATTAAGCATAGCTATTGCAGCTAATGATAGTAAATTGATTAGTCAGAATTTAAAAAAAGTTTATCAAATTTGGCTTGGTAATTACTAAGATATCTTCATTTAAAGTTTTAAAAAAGTTAAATCTACTTTTATAATCTATGTAGTATATTAGATTTTTACATAGTATATAAAAAAGATAATGTTAAATATCGCAAGTTGCCACTAAATCTTGTGTAACAAAAGTAATGAAAAATTAGGATAACTTAAGAGAAAAAAGTCAAAATTTTAAATATCTTGAAATTTCATTATGTAAACTAGTCTTGGGCTTCTAATTAAAATTTTTTAACACTTAATTTTGTATATAAATATGCTTTCTAACTCTAATTCTAATACTAGCTCGAACCCTAATCCTAACTAATAATAAATTTAAAATATATATTAACCTGTGATATTATAACTTCTAAATTTAACAAAAATCTATATGATAAAACTTTTTATATATTTTAATTAAGGTTACACAAATTTAATATATTGGTTTTCATAACATGAAACTTTTAAACAGACCTGGCCAGCCTGCTTTTTTTTTTAAATTTCATATATAAAAATTTATAAAATTTGGATAAAAAATTTTTAAAATACCCACCTTGGTTATTAAAACATACAAAATTTTTTTTACAAATTTTCAAATTTTGACCCTGCCAGGTTATGAAAACCAATTAATTAAGTTTGCATGGCCTAATAATCAAATTTATATAATATGTAGTTTAAAACAGTTTGCTTATAATAGTAAAGCTGTGCAATATGCATTGCTTTAAAAATTTTTAATTTTAAATATAATCAAAGTTTATCTAGATTACTATATATTTTATATATATGGATTCTATGCCAAGCTATGTTAATTAGTGATGCAGTGTAATATAATATGCAATGCAAATTAATTGCCAATTTTTCATACATTGCGTGTAGTTATCTCAATAATCTTCTTGCCAAATTTGATGAAATTTTTTATTCAAATTTTATAAATCTATAAAATTCAAATAAAAAAATTTTCATTGAATTAGGTAAGTTAATTATTAAGATATTTTTATTTAAAGTTTATATAAAAATTGAACTATCTATCAAAATAGAAGATGCCAAACTTTTTCTCAAAATTGAACAAAAATATCTCAATAATGACCTAATCATATTTAATAAAACTGTTTATTTAAATTTTATAGATTCATTAAATTTAAATATAAAATTTTATTGAATTTGATCAGCAAGATGGAAATTCATTTTAATTGGCTGTAATCAGAATGATTGACAATGATCGATATTTTATTTTGATTGGTCAATTTAGTCCTGTGATCTGCATTACAATTATTTTACGAAATGACAAAATTGGGTTGTAATCAGGGCTTAAAATACTATAGTAATTTGCCAGCCTGCAGCCTATTGTTTGAAGTGTTTTTCTTGATTTACCAAAATTAATGTATTGTTCTAATATACTGTAGATCAA